CCCAAAACCCCAAAACCCCAAAACCCCATGAGGAGGTGGATTTAAATTATTTGAAAAATTTAAAAGTATAATTAAATAAAATAGAGAAATATGAACTTGGGAGCAAAGGGAAAACGCTTAGTGCTGCACTTTGATGTAAATAAGACTGTGGTCATGAAGGATTCCAGTAAAGGTTTGTCTTCAGTCACTATGACAGTAAGTCATCTCATTTCATGCATCTATTAACAATAATTATTAGGTCTGCAACATATTAGCTAATGCAGTTTGGGGAAGACTAGTGTCTAAAAAGATAGCTGCTGATAAAGAGGAAATTCAATGGACTCTTGCTTATGACTAGCTGACTGAGAAGAGACCAGTACATCTAATCACTGAAGAACAGCCAGATGAAATCATTAGTTTCAGGTTTGATAACATTGATGATCTTAATTTCATTTCATAGAGAGTATCTTGACAGATATTTCCCTCTAAAGTCTAAATAATAAATTCCTGATAACGCCGAAAGAGATAGAGCTAACCAAGAGAATGAGTAAGAAGATAATAGATTAAAACCTAATATAGCGTCATAAGAAACACCAAACTCATCAACTTTACAAAGCCAGGAAACCCAGGCACCAAGTTTAAGAATCATTTCGAGAAGATGATCAAGTCTCTGAGCTTGCCTAAAGCTGCTAGAGAAGAACTAGGAATACCAGAAGATGCTGGAAATCAAGTATTTTCAAAGGGATTGTCTTAAGGTGAACTCGGACAAGTAGTTCCAACTGAAGGAGAAAAAAGTGCAATGGAAGGAGGCAGAGAGACTTCTTAGTTCTCCCAACCAAATATTCATGATGATGACGATGAAGATGATAAGAGGAAAAAGAAAGGTAATGAGGAAGAAAAGGGAGATGAAGAGATTAAGACTCTTATGAACCTCTTTGGCGAGGGAAAATATCACTTGATTCCATCATTCTTCAGAACATTAATTTATCTTAAGAAGGCAAAGAAGGAGTTTGCTTTGGTTTTCAGAACTTTTGGAGACGATCTGAACAATGTCGTATTTGAGTTCAATAAATTCTGTAACGGTGATCATCCTTGCTATAGTGGTAGAGGAGGCACACCTTAAGTCAAGTTTGATGGTGGCAAAAACACCAAGGATCTCAGAATCAAAGACAGGTCTCAGAAGGGTTTGTACTACAGAGATGGTGTAGAGACCAATCAAAGTGCTCTTGTAACTGGTTCTCTTAGAAGAGTAATCACATATATCAATATTTCATCTTATCTAGACGACTAAAGAAGACAATATTGCTGATTTCTATTCAGGCGAGGTTGAAGAAGGCACTGTGAATATCTATAGGGACCCTATAGATCAATACGTTTCTATCCTAGAAACTCTTAAAAAGAGATCTACAATGGCTATTCAAGATGACTTCATTTAATGGCAAAAGACTGGCTTTGCAAAGATCGGAGGCAAATTACTGCTAGTTGATCAAGCTGACTATGGAACATAACACATATTCTTTGATGATAATGCTGGAGAGTAATTACTTCAATGATTTTAAACATATAATTAGAGAGAACGATTGTAACGTCGATGTAAGAGACGTAATCAATGGTGAAGCAATTGCCTATAGAAAGTTCATTAATAAGTATGTGATAAAGGTAGAGCCTCACAGAGCAATCCTTGAACCAGATTATTTCATTAAGCTTATCGAAACAGCCGAGCAGAAAAGAGATGAAGAGGTATTGCAACTTTTATTTTAACCTTTTACTAGATTGAAAAAATCGAGCAAGGACTTGATTCAGAGGATGAGGGTTAAAGAAATCAATCTTTAGAGAATGAATGGGAGAAATTGCAAAATTTACCAAATGAGGAGTATCTAATGAAAACTGTACTTCCAGTACTCTATCAAGGAATGAGAGTAGTTGACTTAGAGAGACCTGTGAGTCCTTTGGAATACCTAGCCATCTACCTTCTCAAGCATCAGGATTAGATTAAGCTTCCACCTAAGCCATAATAATAGAATCAAGGAGCTTCCTTATGATTAAGATTAAAAATTCATAATTTTCTAATGATTGATCTATCTCAAAGTTAGTTTATTCATTCGATTATCAGTTGGGGTTTTGGGGTTTTGGGG